CTAAAAAAATCCTTCTAAGAAGCTGACTCTTGGGAACTAAGATGGGAAGAAATTACTTCCCAAAGTTTGAAAGAATATTTTAATTGTCCTCAAGTTGAATATGCGTAATGCATACACAGGGTAGGGCTTAATTTCTTTTGAGCATAAGGAAGTGTATAGCAAGTTTTTCATATTTGTAGTTTTATTGAATAATTTATAATGTCATGTATTTATTTCTATATGTGCATTTTTTCTATGAAATAATTAATAATGAATACATGATATATATATTAGAATAAAAACGAATGGGGGACCCTGCTGAGGAAGATGCTGTATCCAAAGCATTTGTTAAAGTTCGTGAACAACGATATAACCGTATGATAATTGATATACATACCTCATGTAGAAAGAAGAATTTTACAAAAAAAAAAAAAGGGGGTCATCCAGGTCTGATGAGGTTTGGGATAAGTTAAAGTATATATGGACAAAGAACCCTTAGTTTAATGTGCGCATAGAGCAAGCAAAGTTGAATCAGGTCAAGGGCCCTAGTGTAACCCACACAAGTGGATCTATGGATTACAATGATTTTGTACAAAATTTGGTAAAAAATTGTTACCTTTATGTTTTAGATTTCATATCATAATTTATATAATATTCTTAATGTTAATTATAATGTTTGTGTGAATTAGCAAAATATTTCAATATGTGATATGGTAGAAAGAGAAAAATCCTAACCATTGAGATCTATCATTCATTAATATGATCACAAAAAAAAAATACACCATCCAAAAAACAAAGATAAAATACCGACATTTATTGATGAGTAGGCTTAAGAGCATACTGTAAGTATTCTTTCTTTACTATTATTATTTCTTGAGAGGTTCATTTAAGTAATATATGATTATGTCTTCACTAACAATTAGATTGTATCTTTTAAATTCTCCTAAGTTTATTCATTTAAGTGAACTTAGATTGCATTTTAATTATATTGAATATCTTAATTAGAAGTATATATATATATGGTTGAGTATGTTTTTATACTTTTTTAAAGGTAAAAGTTCTTTTTTTTTTAGGGAAAACTCTGCTAAATTTTTTTATAAATTCATTATGAATTACAAAAATTTAAGTAATTTTATTTTGTTGGTTATAATTATATTGAATATCATGGTTGTAAGTATATGATTGAATATATAATAATTTTATACTTTGTTTACATAGGGAATGCCTAGTTTTTAAAATAAATGAATTCTAAATTTTTTCAAGGTTTATTATGAGAAAATTAAATGATATAGTTTTTTTTTTTTTCGTTCTAATTTATTGCAAGAATGCCTAATTAAAGAGGTCACTCAAAAATATGGGGAGGACACCACTGAGTGGCCAAAAATAGTTGTGCCCAACTTTTGTCTCAAGCTTCAGGTGAACCTTCCAAGTATAGGTGACTTTATAGAATGCCCAATTACATTGACCCGATTGAGGAATTTTGGTCTCACACCGTAAGCATCCTCTGCATATCGTACCTTCTAGTTTTGTTAAGTTATCTCAACGTGTGGTGCAATTGTAACAAACTATAACAAAACTTCAAGAGAATCAACAGGCATTACAAGAAAAGGTAGACAGGATGGGGCAGATGTTTGTGAAGCAAGGAGAAGTAGTTAGGAAAAGTGAGGGATTATATTTGGCTTCGTTATAAGTCAATCGTTGTATGAAAAATTTCTTTTGGTATTGTGCATGGACATGTATGACGGTCTCTACATATATGATTAGCTATATAATGACACTGTACTTTAATTCTTAGTTTAGAACATAATACTTTAATTATAATTTTAGGTCAAGTCTTGTATTTATGTGTTTTTAGGTAAACTTGTTCTCAATTTAGATGTTTAGATATATATTTGGAAATGGCTTAATAGAATTTTTATTGCATTGATTATAAATTTTATGACAAAAAGTTAAAAATAGAGAAAGCAAAAAATAGAGAAATTAAGCAAGAAATAGAGGAACCTACACATTAGGTGCAAGGAATGGACTTTTTTCTGTCATTTAAATTCACAGAAAAAAGAAAGTATATTTTCACAATTTAATTCGGTCAGGCAATGTGACCAACCTTATAAAAAAGTGCCTCTTTCCCATCATAATCTTCACTAGGGAAAATGAATACCATAACCACACTATTTCAGTCACTCTCTTGGAAATTAGAAAAAAACCTCTTATATTTTAATTCGGTCAAACTATTTGACTAAATTACATATATCCATTATCATTTTTTGAATATGTTTTTTGAATACATTATTTTCGGTCAATATTTTTGACTGAAATAAGAAAAGGTTAAAAAAAAAAAACTGAGCTTCACCTTAGAAGGTGTTGAAATATTTTAAATTTTTTGCTATTTTTAATTCAATTAGAAGTTTTGACTGAATCAATTTTTTAACTTCTTTTGGTTCTTGCCCTATCATTTGAAATCTTTGCTACAATGGTTTTGAAATTTATGCTAAATTTATTTCAGTTAGTTTTATTGTCCGAATTATATTTCAGCCTATATAAATGCATCAACCCAAACTCTTTTCCTTACTTCAACTTCTCTTCATTTCTTTCTTCTCTAACTTCAACACTTCTCTTCATCTCTTACTTCTCTAACTTTCAACAATTCTCTTTAAATTTTCATTACTTATTTATGTGTCTTCATCTTTCCTTTTGTTTTTCTTATTCACTTCTTTAATTTCTTTTCCTTAGTATTTTATTTTCTTTTTTTATTCATTGTTATATATTTCCTCCAAAACTAATGCTAATTCCTTTCTTTCCCATCCTTTTCACTTTCATTTTCTTCAATTATTAAATTATGTAAATTTATCTTAACCTTTTATAATCTCATGTTTTTTGTGTTCTAATTGTACTAATAATTTAATTTTCATTTTCAAGGTTTCTTAATTTGGTGAACAATTGGGGCAGCATATTAGAGGTAAATATTGCATGATTTAATATTTATATTCATATTCATATTTTTTTCATATATATTTTTTAGTTTATTTGTATGCGTGGTTTAATTTATATACTTTCATTTGTGATTATATATATGAATTTGACTTATTTGTATATTTATGCTAGATTCTTTTTGTAAATGCAAAACAATTTAATGAAATGTTTTCCTTTTTTTTTTTGTTACTTATATAGCAATTTAATAACAATTATTAATAAATAAATGTAATAATAATTAAAAATGATAAAAGGCCAAAAAATAGAAAAG